GTAAAGTAGAAAAATTAATTTTAAAAAAAAAAAAAAAAAACTAAAATCAGAATAATATGAACCATTCATTTCAACCAACAATTAAACCCATATTTTTTTATTCTCGTTATAGGCTTAACTTTATTGGCTCTTATTAGATTTATTATAAGTAGATTAGTAGAATAGTAGACATCAATCATTATTGTGTGGATCATATTTTGTATAGTATAAAATAATGTACATTTAGTACACAAATAATGTACATTTAGTATATTAAAGATGTACTTTATATTTAGGGAATGTACATTATTTGAATACTAAAAGTACATTATTTTATATAATGTACATTCAGTCACAAATAATGTACTTTTGGTATATTAAAAATCTAAGTAGTGGGATGGGCCCCTTCAAGCATGGCCCTTGGGTAAGGGTGTAGCTTGCCATTGCCCACATTCGCAATCGTTATACCCTGCACTACGACGCACATAGCACTATGCGCTTCGCGCCTCCCAAAATGACGTCGTTTTGGTAAGTTATGTAGCGAGTTGACGTGATTATGTGTATTTGTTTATATAATTATGTGTATTTGTTTATACAATTATGTACATTTTTTATACAATTATGTACATTTTTTTATACAATTATGTACATCCGAAATAGGAAATTTATGTGTATTATGTTAAGAGTTTATATGTATTATGTTAAAAGTTTATGTATATTATGTATTATGTTAGATTATGTGTATTATCTTTTTTAAAAAAAAAAAATATGTGTATTTTGTTATACAATTATGTATATTCATGTATACAATTATGTGTATTCTAGTATAAAATTATATACATTTTTGAACATGAGATTTTTACATCGAAAAAAAAAAAAAAAAAAAAAAAAAAAAAAAAAAAAAAAAAAAAAAAACCACCTCGTTTTACATCAGGGCGCACAATGCAATGCGCACCCTGGTGCACGATATAAATTGACCCCAGTCGACTCTAATTGTTAATAACTTTAGTTAAGGGTCTATCTAGAAACCCAAAAATGACTTTTGAAATTTTTTTCATATTTTTTTTTGTGTTTGGATGTTCAAAGAAAATAATGTCAAAGTAAAATATTCATTCGAGTCAACGAAAAAATATCCATTTTAACATAAAAGGTTTTTCTAGATTTTTAGTAGGAATATATTTTCCAGATTATTTATTTTCATGTCTCTCTCATCTCTCATCAAGTTAGTTTCCGGATATTACCACCACCACCATCACCCAACATCCACCACCACCACCACCAATAATAATAATAATAATAATAATAATAATAATAGTAATAATAATAATAATAATAATAATAATAATAATAATTATTATTATTATTATTATTATTATTATTATTATTATTATTATTATTATTATTATTATTATTATTATTATTATTATAACAAATAATGTGTTATTATCAGGAAAATGAACCAAACAGAAAAATCAAATAAAATTTCTTAATTTTTTGCCAAACAGAAAAATATAATTGTATGACATTTAACTAAACATCAAAAAATTAAAATATTTTCTAAAAAATAAGTCATTTAAAAAAAAATATTTTTTCAAGTTTTTAAACAAACCATAAATCTCCGTAACTAAATAACATACATAAAATGTGTAGAAGGAAGTAAAAATCATAATATAATATCTCTGGAAATGCAATTAGGTCACTGAACGAAAAAAAAAAAAAAAAAAAAAAAAAAAAGTGCAATTAGGCCACTGAACACTCCAAAAATGTGCAATTAGACCACTGAACACTCCAAATGTATGCAATTTTACCGGATAGCAGACTACCATCAATTTTAGCAGGTTACCTGCTTACGTGGCAGATGATTTCGCATTTTTAATAAATTTTAATAATTACCTTTAAAAAAAGTTGGAAAAAATTAAATAAATAATTAAACGGCAGCCACCCCGTCATTTTATTTTATTTTATTTTATTTTTTAAAAAAATTATTATTAAAATTATTTAAAATTATTAAAAATGTCAACTCAACTGCCACGTAAGCAGGTAAGCTACTAAAATTGACGGTAACCTGCTATCAGGTGAAATTGCATACATTTGGAGTGTTCAGTGGCCTAATTGCACTTTTTTCGTTCAATGACCTAATTACATTTTCAGGTTACGTTCAATGGCTAATTTGAACCTTATTCCATAGAATTTTAACACAATTGATTTTTAATCGTGGTTGGGTTGTTGGTTTTGTAATTGTTTGATATTAAACTGATTAGGTATGAGTAATATATCTTATTTATTTATTTCATTGTAATCCTTTTGCTATTTTCATTGTAATCCTTTTGCTAGTATTTTATATGCAGCCCCAACAAGCAAACCTCATCCACCGCCAACTCCATGTAACGAAGAGTGGTGGGAGCGAGTGGGATTAGCACTTCAATTCCCTCCGCCAAAGCCGTCCAAAACCCACTCCAAACAGCACCTTCCTCTCTAGATTCCCTCTCCTGTTTTGCCTGTATTACTGTATTTCTTACCAATTTTTTTCTCCTGAACATCTTCAATCTTGAATCACCCACCTATGGCAACTTCCTCCATTTTCCTCTCAAACCCATTCCTTCATCTACCCAAGCCAACAACAACTACAAGACGACTATCATCCCCTTCTCCTTCTCCTTCTCCTTTTTCTTCTTCTTGGAGGACTAATGGACTCGCCAAGCCTTTCCGGGTAGAAATCCCTCCCAATAATCGGAGGAAACTCCCGCTGTTGTTAGTGGGTGTGGTGGGTAAAACGCGGGAGGAGGCAGAAGCGGTGGTGGGAGAGGATTCCGCGGAATTCGACTTGTCAAAACAGAAGATTTCATCTTGGCTTTACTTCACTGTGATTCTTGCCGTTGTTCTCTATGCTCTCAACTTGCTATGGATCGATAACTCCACCGGCTTTGGCAAAAGCTTCATAGACACCGTTTCCGGCCTCTCTGACAGTCATGAGGTTGAACTATCTCTTCTTAACATAGAGCAAATCTGCTATCACTTAACACTCTTTTCAATTTTCACCTCTTTGTGATTTCTTCATAATTTTGCCTGCTATAGTGCTATGTAGTATGTACTTGTATTTTCTTTTGGGGAAAATTGAATTGGGTTAAGTAGGCAAGTAGTCCATTAACTAAATTGAAACTCTTAATAAGAGAGAACGTATGGGTTTATAATATTGTGTTAGACTAGCTAATTTATTGGATTCAATCGTTTATTGTGGTTTGGCTCATGTGCATTATAGTCCAATTGAGCATAAACCGGTTCTTCCCTCTATTACCTTTGTGATGAGGGTACTAATCCTTAATGTTTCTGTGCAGATTGTAATGTTCGCCCTTACTCTTATTTTTGCAATAGTACACAGTGGTCTTGCTAGTTTTAGAGACCAAGGTGAAAGACTGATAGGAGAGCGTGCTTTCCGTGTATTGTTTGCTGGGATATCTCTTCCATTGGCTGTTAGCACTGTTGTGAGTTCTTAACCATCAACTCTATCTCTTAGTGGACTCAACCAATAGAATTTTTGCTATGCTCCTTCGGTGACTATAATGAAGTTCATTAAATGTTCATGTTGTAGGTGTATTTTATTAACCACCGATACGATGGAGTACAGTTATGGCAATTACAGAGCTTTCCAGGGCTGCATCAGTTTGTTTGGTTATCTAATTTCGTTTCTTTTTTCTTCCTCTACCCATCGACATTTAATCTGTTAGAGGTTGCAGCTGTGGATAAGCCAAAGATGCATCTTTGGGAAACTGGGATCATGAGAATTACTAGGCACCCCCAGGTATAATCCTAAATGTGTTGTTTTTTGCATTTTTGTCATATATATAATGTGCTATTTACTTAGGGTGTGTTTGGTTGGTGGGTTTTGCCCATAGGAATGGGTATGAAAGTGATTGATGTTGTTTAGTTGATAGGTTTTTAGAACACTACTATGGGTTTCGAATACCCCATCAATTGAAAAACCCATACCCAAATAAAATAAGGGTTTCGAATACCCCATCAATTGAAAAACCCATACCCAAATAAAATAAGGGTTTCATTCCCTTATTCATTCTCAAGCACTACTATTAGTAACTATTTTCATTCCACCCTATTACCAAACATGTTAAATACTTTCACCAAAATCCATTACCATTACCAAGTATTTGATACCGATTCCGATTTCGATTCCCATGTGTGAACCAAACACACATTTAATCATTATCCGATCCCTAGTTGCTTACCCAGCCGGTGTGCTTTACACTTGGTGTGTTGTCTATGTCAGATGGTCGGGCAGGTGATGTGGTGCCTTGCTCACACTCTATGGATTGGGAACTCGGTTGCTGTGGCGGCATCCTTGGGTTTGATAGGACACCATTTGTTTGGAGCCTGGAATGGGGACCGGAGGCTGGGAATCCGATATGGGGAGGCTTTTGAAGCTGTGAAGAATAGAACAAGCATCATTCCATTTGCAGCAATTGTAGATGGTCGCCAGAAGTTGCCAAAAGATTATTACAAAGAATTTGTTAGATTGCCATACTTGTCCATAACAGTATTGACATTAGGTGCCTACTTTGCCCACCCACTCATGCAGGCTGCAGGCTTCAGGCTTCACTGGTAGTTCAACATCTCACTTTTGCTCCATGTAAAAATAAAAATAATGTAATATTCTTCACCCTTGGGGTGTAGATGAGGCGGTGCGGGTGCGGGGTGCCGGTCTCTTCAAGTTTAACCAAAGGTATATAGGGTTTAGCATATCCTGACTAAGGAAACTTGTGGTCCGACAAAAAAAAAAAGTGAAATACTTCCCATTGCATTTATGCCCGGCTTTAAGAAGCTGGTCTAACCATATTTCATACAGTATAAATAATGTACTTTTAGTATATTAAAATGTACTTTTTGTTATAATCCACACAATACTGTAATTTTACTTGAAGGCAAAGTTTTAATCTTATATTTTGAAAGCAATAAGCATATAATGGAATCAAATTGTCAATGGTACATATTAAATTGTCAAAATAAGATATAAAACACTTGCAATCATTAAAATCAATAACCCTCATGGTCATAAACATCAATAAAATGGAGGATGAAACCCAAGAAATAGGGCAAAGCAGGTTTTCAAGGAGACTTTCCTATGGCACATAAAATTTTGTTAGTCTAGTCTAGAACTATATTTTCCAGAGTACAAAGTTTTAGCTTGAGAATTATGATCATCTAGGGTTCATAAAACTTCAAATTCATCAGATAAAATATGCTCTCCAAGGGTATACACAGAATATCGATGGCCCTCCTTATAACTATCAAGGTGAGCTATTGTAGAGATGGGGGTCAAGATTTCGATACTCCCCCCGATTTCTCAATATGATGTGTATGTTGGTTCAAGTTGTATGTCCAGAGGCCAGTTGCAGTTCTATGAAAAGGTCAGAGGAAGCTTCCCAGAGGTCCTTGGCAAGTTTTGAATTGTAAGAAAGGGGGGAAGATTTGAGTGTTCTACCGTTTCCTCCAAAGAAATAAACCCCTGATATTTCCTGAAATAATAACAATAAATTAATAATGACCTCAGATGTGGTAATTAAATTCATAAGCTGCAGAGTAGAACAACATGAGGTTTCAAGAGTTTGTTAATTCAATGAAAAAATTAACACGTACCAACAATGGGTCACACTTAGTCCGTCTCACGGATCTTTATTCGTGAGACGGGTCGTGTCAATATGCAAATGTAATACTAACTATTACATTTCATCTTGACCCAACCCGTCTCACAGAGGTTTCACACAAGGTTTTGCATTTCATCTTGACCCAACCCGTCTCACAGAGGTTTCACACAAGTTTTTGCCACCAACAAAAAATTCACAACTTTTTACAACTCAAGTAAGCCTTTAAACTGATCTCTACTCTTTTCTAAAGCAGGCTAAATATTTTAGAGAACCCTGTCATATATAAGTAATAATCACTAAAGTCCTAAAGCAATCTTTGTTAGCTTTGTTTGAATAGATTTGGTGTGCCCACCAAGAACTTAAGTTGTCAGTTGTTTTTTACCGCTCTTAACTCATATGATGATGAATCTTTGATATTATGTGAACAAAAAAAAAGTGACACATCACATCAAAACAACTGAATATAAAAGAACTTACTGGAGGTGCAAGTGCAGCATCAAGAATGGAACAGACCCCTTCTTCAGATGACTGCAGAAGCCCCAAAAGCCTCAAAGTGAAAAAAGCCAGCTGAGAGATGCATTTAGGAAATTCTCGCATAATATTTGTTTTCACTGTTCCAGGATCCACAGCACTAGAATTATTTAAAGCATCCAAAAACAAATGATCAGGTAAACCAAATCACCAATATATACTGGGCGGAAAGCGGTTTCACTTTAAAGTTAAAGATAAGGTTGCAGAGCCTAATTGCCAAACTAGAAAACAGAGGAAATTTTTTTTTTAAATGCAAGTAAAAACCAGCTATGGTAGCTATGAGACTTGTGAAACTGGTTAGACCCAATAGCTCAGAGTTTTGCAAAAGAAGTAATCGTTATCATGTTTTTCTATACAAAGAATTGACTGAATGAAATCACAAATCTAAATAATCAGTTTTCGTGCATTTGGAATCAGTAAAGAAATGAAGGAAAAGAAATGCTGGAGATCCTAACTCCTAAGTAGAAATAAGCTATTATGCATGAAAAATCTTAGAGAAGTGCATTTTCCGTATTTGGAACACATTTCCAAATCGAAAACTCACCAAAAACTTCCCCAAAACATTTTGAGGTCATTTCTATAATTTAAAAAAGTTTCTGAGCAAATTCAGTAAAAAGAAATGTGTTTCTGGGCCTTATTGAAAAAATAAATTATTGGGTCAAAAGAAATACAGATTCTTATTCCTTAAACCCATATACCTCTATAGTATATTATTTTTAACTATGGAACTACCATAGATGTAGCAGCTAGACAAGAGCCTAAAACTCTTGTTGGAGGGTGTCTTAGTGACAACCCTATATCCCTTTCCCATTCAATAAAGCCAATTCATCTTTCTTTTATCTTTTTCCTGATCTTTACTCTAACAGGAACTAGTTGACAATTACGGAGTAATATTTATGCATAGTAAAGGAAAAAAATATTTGAAAATATACTCTATATTTTTTTTTTATTTGAACGTTTTCTTTCCTGTATTTTTTAAAATTGCTATTTTCACATGTCGTGTATCTCATTTACCATTTCCATGCTACCTAAAAAATAAACTAAGATGTCATAACTCAAGTCTGAGGGTACATTGTCCAGATTGGATTACTACCAATGTCCAAATACTAGTTTTGTTGACTTATTTTCACTCTAATCTCACCCAAAAGTGTGAAAAATAGACAATATACAGTGAAAAGTTGTTCAGACTTTTCATTCCAAAAATGAAATTACCCTCCACCTAACACCCAATGCTTCATCCAGAAGAAATCACTAGTAGTCACTATCATCCTTAGGGTAATGAAAAAGTGAAGCAGTTAAGAAACAGAGAATGCATAAGACTAAAAACCATAATAATAAAGATCGTGTCTATATGAGAATGATCAGTAATCAGTATATCAAATCATGCATGTGAAGTATACTCTTTCCACCAAGATAGCTTAAAAGTTAAAACACTAGTTTTCAGGACAACAGTTCCATCATTAGCAAAACAAAAGACTGAAATATTAAGAGTAAATTTCGGGGAGCAACATCCACTTGGACCACTGTAACCTACACTTTAAATTTTAACAACATGCAACTTAAACTTCAAAACTGTAACAAATAACAAATTCTGATCAATTTTCCAGCATATTTTTTAATGAATTGAATTTAGCCATTAAATATTTTTCTAACCATTGCTTTATGTTTTTACAATCTACTTTCCTTTACAAGCTATAGTCTTCCTTACTTTGTTCATGTCATTAACAATTTTATTAAAACTTAAACTCCAAGGAAATATTTCTGTTCCGTATTTGTCCCAGCTTATGTTCTTCAGAGTAGATAAGCTCCAACATAAGCTGGGATAAACAAGCACAAAGAAGGATAAATAAACTTAGAAAGTGATGACTGAAAGCAAACAAAAAAAGGAATCAAACGTACATCACAGAGACTTGACTGGATTGCTCCACTAGTTTAACTTGCCGATGAAGCTCATAAGAGAAAAGAAGTAGGCACACTGTCAGCAAAGTTAGCATGTCTTAGCTGGAAATGATTTAAAAGCTAGATAAGCTCAGTCTAATAATGCAACTTACATTTAGAATACTCATATACATGAGCAAAAGGATAAATTCTTGATCCAGAAAAACACTTCCCAGAAATGGTTTCTTTATTGATCTTCATGCTAGATACTGTAAAGAAGTGTAAATGGTAAATTCCTTCCATATATATGCAGCAAAGATAATTTAGCTCCTTTATAATGTAGACTGAATCTTATGCTACCAATAGATGGAACAAGATTTCAGAACATGAGAGCTAAATCTTAATGGGGACAAAAGAAATGAAGTTATGCTGCAATACCCATACTAAGATTCAATATTTTCAATCCAAGATTTGATGTATATCATAAGATAGAAAATGAATCCCAACCATACCACTCCGATGTGTGAATGATGTGACATTAACAACACGAGAAGGAATAGGACTGTTCTGGAGTAGCGGCAGAAGAATTTTAGTTAAACAAAAGGCACCAACATAATTAGTCGCCATAATCCTGTGAAGGGGGTATGAGTGTTTCATTAGTTAAGATTTAAAGTTAATCAAATACATAACAAAACTTGATCTTCAGAAAAGTGGTAACATGAAGCTTCAAGATTTAAAGTTATACACTACAGTTTGCACATAAGATGTCATGTGTTAAAGTGTACAAGTAAAAACAGGGAAGGGTACCTCCCACTTTTCCTTTTTAGTTGCTATGGTAGGGGAAGACTTTATTTCACCCTTTCTGTCCAAACATTGAAGGGTACTTGTAAATAAATAAATGAATCAAAGGATTAAGATAGTAACTTATCACAGCCTTCTGTAGTTACCCTGCTCCTTGTTGCCAGGATTCCAGCATTATTTATTAGAAGTTGAACTGAACAATGCATATTCATATCTGATAGCCACTGCTGAAATTCCCTCTTAAAGTTCCAGATTGACTTGAAAGATGATAAATCAACCTGGAAAGCTTTAACACAAGCATCTCCACTTTGTTCTTTAATATCAGATGCAATCTGTCAAAAGCTAATACATTAAATCAATAAAAAGTAGAAACTATAAGAAGCTAGAAGAGGTAAACAGTGACTTTACCTTTGATAACAAGTCCAATGATCTTCCAACTGAATTCATAGACAAATCCCAATAAACAATGTTAGTAGCAATACAAGATATTCATGAAAGCATGTGCACCACAGGGGGAGGGAAATAGCACATTACCACGGGAAGTGATATAACTACATAAGCATAAAAACTATACCACATTCTTAGCATATCAGAACGAAACATAAAAGTTTTATCCAAAATGAGCAAGAAATAGTAACCCACTATAAAATTGAATTGCAAGATCAAGCACGAAAAGGAAAAGATCACAAACCCAACATTGTATTATGGACAATTGGTCATAACTGAGTAAGGTAAAGATAAAGATAATAATAATACGCAAAATTACAGGTTATTGATGCCAATAATATATCACCAATAATATAACAATAGATTATTATTAAATCTATGTTTAATGTAAACAACTAAACACTTGTACACTGACCAATGTGGATGCAAAATCCAAGTAATAAATTAGGCATACACAGAGTATTAAGGAAGAAATTAACAGGTGCAATACCAAGAACAACATAATATCCCTCTCTTGAAAGAGCACACGCAGCTGCTGCACCCAAACCAGACGTGGCCTGGAAGGTGACCAATTAGCAAATCAAGCTAAGCAGAAAATGAGACACATAAAACTCAAGCCAGCACTTAGTATGGATAATGAGCATTTTTTGCACTTTCGTATCCATGGAAGGAGGGATGTGCGGTATCTCAAGGTTAAATTAAAGGCTCTGAACAACAGGCATTCAGAAAGCCAAGTGATCAAAGACTCATCATGTGTGAGCGTATTGAATTGGAAATTTATCAATTTCTGCATTCCCATTTACTTACGCCGGTGACTATGCAGATTGGCCTTCTTGTGGCTATGGATGAGGGAGAGCAGCGAGGAGAATAGGGTTTGGATTTGGATTTGGCGGAGAAAAGGGTTTGCCGAAACAATTGAAAGTAGGAGTAGATGAGTGAGAGTGTCCATAACACGCCCATCCTCCAGAATTCCACACTGCAAATAAAGCTGAAAACCTCTTTCCACTCTTGTGCATCCATTTGTCTTGATGAAGAAGATGAAATCAATCAACCTGAGGACGGTCTCACGGTATAGTTCAGAAAGCGAACAATACCAATTCTTGTCATAGGACTATCATTGTTGCCAAATTGCATGCACTATTATCGTTTTCTTTCCGATTTCACTCCTTCCTAATTCCAATCACAAAACCGACCAAAACTCCCTATTCCCCATCCAAAACGAAAGGAAAATGCATTTCTCTTCAGCCTTCTCCTTTCAATCTGATAGAAGAAATTAGGCAAAGAGTTAAATTATACGTATCATGGTCCATGGTATATTTAAAGCTGTCAAAAGTGCTGGCGGCGCTGGCGCGGGCCAGCCAAAACCCGCCAAAGCCCGTCAAGGGAGGCCGGCTTAACAGGCAAACGCAAATTATGCTATGGAATCGTGTTCACCGAGAATGGTGAACACAAGGCAAAACGATGTCGTTTTTAGGCCCAAAAAAAAATTTTCGCAAGTTCATAATCTCATAACAGAAAATTCATAATCGCATAACAGAAAATTCATAATCGCATAACAGAAAATTCATAATCTCACAACTGAAAATTCATAATCTCATAACAGAAAATTCATAATCTTATAACAGAAAATTCATAATCTCATGGTTCCAAAGTGAATGTGTAGGCATGGTTCCAAAGTGAATGTGCAGGCATGGATTCATAATTTATGAATGTCCGTGATTTCGGACGGGAATATGTAGGCATGGTTCCAAAGTGAATGTGCAGGCATGAATTCATAATTTATGAATGTCCGAAATTATGAATGTAATGAAAATTCATAATCTCATAACAGAAAATTCATAATCGCATAACAGAAAATTCATAATCTCATAACTGAAAATTCATAATCTCATAACAGAAAATTCATAATCTTATAACAGAAAATTCATAATCTCATGGTTCCAAAATGAATGTGTAGGCATGGTTCCAAAGTGAATGTGCAGCCATGGATTCATAATTTATGAATGTCCGTGATTTCGGACGGGAATGTGTAGGCATGGTTCCAAAGTGAATGTGCCGGCATGAATTCATAATTTATGAATGTCCGAAATCTTTATTCACCTCAAATTAAAGTGAAACCGCAAAATGTGAAAATAAAGAAGAAAAATCACGCAATTAATTAATTAAAAAAAAAAAAAAAAAAAAAAAAAAAAAAAGATAACGGTATACTAACACGGTTCCATGGCATAACGTCTGACAGGCAAATTACACTTTGCAAGGTAGACACAGTTTTAGAACTGTTCATAATTGTATATATATAGTTCAAAAATTATGAACACATAGTTCTATAATTATGATCATAGAGTTGTGAACATAATTATGAATATATAGTTCTGTAATTATGAATATAGAGATTCAATAATTGTGAATATAAGTTCAAAAATTATGAATATATAACTTTATAATTATGAACATATCATTCAGTAATTATGAATATAGAATTCTGTAATTGTGAATATAGAGTTCAATAATTATGAATATGAAGTTCAAAAATTATGAATAGGGAAAATAGTATTTTTTTCCCCTGAGTTATATACATATAGCATTTTTTCCCATGAATTATTCAAATAGCAGTTTTTTCCCTGAAATGTTAAATCGATATATTTACCCTTAAAATAAATATTCTATTTATTTTTCTTCTCCAACAAAATATGACCACGAGTAGGACTGTGCATTCGGGCGGTAAGGGTCTTCTGATCGGATTTCGGATATGTACTTTGACTACCCTATCCGTTTAAAGTTGTTGACTTATCTGGTCGGTTATAACGTTATTCGGACCGGTCGGATATCCGACATTATTTCGGATATTAGAAAATGTACAAATCAAATAAAAAATTCAAAAAATAAAATCAAAAGCACAATAATAACTAACTGAAAGTCTGAAATATTGAATAAGTAAATAATTGATAGAATGATAGTGTAATAGACTAATACCTGTAATACTAAATTACTAACTTAGTAATTAGTATTACTAAGTAGTCTATTAACCAACATTAAGAGTCTTAACTCTTAAGTGTCTAAGACTGCAACAAAACTACAAAAGTAAATAACTTACTGTAAGAATTGTTACAGACCAAAACTCTACAAAAGTACATATACAACTGTAAAGGAACTAAGAAGTAACTTACAAATTTACAAAATACAAATTCAGCAAACTGAAGCACCAAAAAATACAAATTAAGCAAAATCAGCAACTCAGCAACTGCAAGTGTCAACTACTCAACTCCTAGAGTTTTAGATTTCAGACAATTAGACCTACTCTTCTTCCTGTGAATTGTGACAAGTTAGTGTAAATAATTAGTACTACACAAGCAAGTAAGCAACTGAGCAAGCATTAGAAAATGAAAAATAGAGAATGGATTATATAAATTTTGGCTCAGTAAGCATTTTTTCCATATCATTTGGATTAAGGGCATATTGCTTCAATATAACATAAGTATAGAGCAACTGACCAACTTAATCCTTTCCTTTTCAGATTAAAGGTGGAAGCTTCATCATTGCCAAATGCCAACTTAAAGTGAACAGACAGAATAAAATAGTTCATACATTACCAACCAAATGCCCAAGGTACTTGAGGCAGCAACTTAGTACAAGTTACCAGGCCTTCATACTTACAGAGTTACAGATGTCCAGTGTAATTGAGTCAAACACAGTGGGCTCAAAAAATACCAAGTGAAATTAGATTGCAATTTAGTTAAACAGTCAAATACTGTAAAAGATTGCAATAAAATCAAGTAATGTAAATAATAACATTACAGGAATTGTAGCAAGTGTAGAACCAAGAGACCTCCCACTTCCACGATCACCACTTAACTCTGCAAAATAAACAACAAAAGTTAAGTGTATTAACAATTTAAGTAATTTAAAATATAAGTATAAAGGAGTATAAAGTTAAAACTTAAAAGTCATGCCTTTTTCAAACCTCTCCAACTCTTCCAGATTCTCCTAAATACATAAAGGAGTATTTTGCATTCTAAGCCAATCTTGTGTACACACCAATGCTTCCACAATTTTTGGAGTTAAAGAACTCCTAAAAGGATCCAATACTCTCCCATAAGTACTGAAGGCAGATTCTGAGGCAACAGTGGAGATTGGAATGGCTAGGACATAGCAAGCTTAGACAGAACTTGAAACCTAGCAGAGTTGATCTTCCACCATCCAAGTATATCGAAAGATTCTTCCTCTTCAAATATTCCCTCACTCAAGTACATATCCAATTCAGTTTGTTTCTTACCCCCAGACTCCAATCTTTGCTTTTTAATTTGGGACTTCAGAAAATGTTGTGGCTTCCCAACAGAAACAGAAGAGGCAGATGTAGCCTGAACAGACACAGGCACAGAAGGGACAGAAGAAGAGGCAGATGTAGAATAATCATCAAATAACTCAGCAAGAGCAGCAACTACTTTCTCATAGAATGGTTTACCCTTTTCCTCACCATACATATGATTAAACTGAGTAGGCATATACTCTAACTTGTCTCTAGGGTCTACAATGTTTGCAAAAAAATATAATTAGATTCATTTTTTCAACATCACCCCAATACTTCTCAAATTTTGCCTTCATATTTTTCCCCATCACACCAACTAGCCCACCAACTTCCACCATGCCTTTCAATAGGCAGTACAGATCAGATATTTCAGTAAAGAATATGTTTGAGGTGACATATAAAGAACCAGAAATTCTAATGGTCATGTCATAAAAACACTTCAGTAACTGAACCAAACTGCCAACAGATTCCCAGTCCATAAAATCAGGAATTGAATTACCCAAATCAGACTTGGAAGAACAATCTGACTCCAAAGATTCAAATACTTTTTGGTAAGTTAAAGCAGACTGCAACATCAAATAGGTAGAGTTCCATCTGGTTGGAACATCTAAACACACAGAAGACCTTTGTTCAATACTCAACCAATCAGCCAAATCCCTGAACTTTTTGAGTCTAGCAAGAGAGCTTCTAACATATCTAACCACCTCCCTAACCTTCTTCACAGAACTATCACAATCTTTCAGACCATCTTGAACTACTAAGTTTAAGATATGGGCAATACATCTCATGTGAAGATACTTTGCCCTCACAGTAGATGATCCCCAAGACACCAATTTTTTCTTCAGAAACCCCATAGTAGTGTCATTTGATGAGGCATTATCAACAGTCACAGAAAATACATCTCTAAGCCCCCACTCTAGCAAACAATTTTCTAGGGCTTTGGCTAGATATTCACCTTTGTGAGAGGTAACAGGGACAAATGCAAGGATTTTCTTATGAAGCTTCCACTCAGAATCAATGAAATGGACAGTTACTACCATGTAGTTAATTCTTTAGATGGATGTCCAAGAATCTGTAGTGATACTAACCCTATGACTGCTTCCCCTTAAAAATGACTTAAATTTTAGTCTCTCCTCTTCATAGACAACTAGGATGTCCCTACTTATAATCCACCTGGATGGAACTATAAACCTAGGGTAAGCAATAGTTATGAACCTCCTGAAACTATTCCCTCCACAAATCTAAAGGGCAATTCATCTATGATTATCATTTCAACCAAGGCCCTCCTAATTGACTCTTGATTAAATACCCAAGTCCCTATTTCTCCCACAGTAGGCTGACCATCTGTAAGTGATGTAACAGCCTGAAATGTTAACAGGGACTGCCTAGTTTCCTTGGAGTGAGGATTTTTCAAACAGCTAAACATGTGATTTCTTAAGGAAAAAGTCCCATGTTTTTTTTGTCTCACAGTGATAAATTTTTGCACAATAAATGCATTTGCCTTTAACAACCACATTATTATTGTCCTTTATCTTCTCAAAATGATCCCACACTGGTGATCTGGAATCAACCTGTTTCCTCTTCTTGGCAGGAACAGCAGTAGGAGGTTGCTCATTCTGTTGATTCTCAACAGTTTGGGCTTCCACCCCTGAAGGTCCATCAATTGGGGAGTTGGGAGGTTGACTACCAAGCATACTGATATTTTCCATCTAAAAATGGTGAACTATCAGTACACAAAGCAGGATTCATATTCAAGAAGAGGAAGCACATGAAATCATTTAAGCATTCCAGAATCAGACACATTTTGTGTCATCATTAAACAGGAATGCATAATTAATTAAAGGGTATTATTCAATACAATTATACAAAATTACAAATATACAAATAAAATTAAGGGCATACATCCATAAACTTACAAAGAAATCCAGATTCAGGGATATATTTTAAATATCCAAATGAATTAGAGACTGTTATAACATAAAAACAGCTCATTTCATCAACATCATTATAAGGATTTCTATGCGGCTTTCACCCATTTAAGCCTTTAAGAGACATTATAACACTCTAATTTATAAGACTCTTATAACAGTCAGTGCTTCCACCAGAATATATCACACATTATGAAATCAAGATACAATCTGGAACTTCTCAACAGATTGACTTAATCACAGTCCAAAGAAATCACAGAATCATAGAAACCCTAATCAAGTATCATAACATCACAAACAAGGGACAAGTGACATACAATCTGGAACTTCTCAACAGATTGACTTAATCACAGTCCAAAGAAATCACAGAATCATAGAAACCCTAATCAAGTATCATAACATCACAAACAAGGGACAAGTGACATACAATCTGGAACTTCTCAACAGATTGACTTAATCACGGTCCAAAGAAATCACAGAATCATAGAAACCCTAATCAAGTATCATAACATCACAAACAAGGGACAAGTGACATACAATCTGGAACTTCTCAATAGATTGACTTAATCACAGTCCAAAGAAATCACAGAATCATAGAAACCCTAATCAAGTATCATAACATCACAAACAAGGGACAAGTGACATACAATCTGGAACTTCTCAACAGATTGACTTAATCACAGTCCAAAGAAATCACATAATCATAATAACAACAACGTATCACAATCTATAAGAGTAATAAGACTATAATCTAATTATGTATAAGATTAGGGTTTAGAGATTACTTCGTTTCTCCAAATTAAACCCCCGAGAACAAAGGGCTTTGATTCCGAGCCAACAATCTACAATCCACCGCTGACCGCACTGAATAACAAAATCAACTTCCACCGGAGTGAGTGACTGACCGGACAATATTAGCTTCCATCGAGCAATATTAGCTTCCACCGGAGAGTCGGAGACTCACACTCTCAGAGTCTCAGTCTGTAAGTCTAGAAGAGACTCAGAGAGAAGTTTAGATCGAGAGAAGTCAGAGAACTAGAGAAGAAAGTGATAGTGTGAGAGACAGAGATGAGAGAAACGGAGAAAGAAACCCTAAACATTCGACTGCGCAAAGAGAAAATGAGGAGAGATCTGAGGTTTTGCCCTACAAAAGGACTATATATACTATCCCTAAATGACGCCATATCATATGCATTCTACGTAACCCTAATGCTAAATCGGGTATTCGGGCGGTTCGGGTGGCTTATTTCATCACCCAAACCGATCATCCTCAACACGACGTCGTTTTACGGGCGGGTTCGGTTATCCGTGCTCGGGTTCGGTTCTAAACGGGTGGGGTAGACCGGTCGGCGGGTCGGTCGGGTTTTTCGGGTATTTCGGGTTCTGCACAGCCCTAACCACGATACAATTAAACAAAGTTAACAAATAGAGACAATTAATCACAAAATTGAGTATTGAAATTTGAGAATAGAGTACTATTTTACAATGAAAGAACGTCAAACAATTCAAGAAAATTAATTAAATTACATATATTAATTTTGCTGTAACTAGCTGTGAAATAAAATTAATTACAGTACTACCTGGCTGTGGAGTGTGGACGGACTGCGAGTCTACGACGGAGATGCTCGACACCGGCGGACTGGACGGACTGCGACTTCGTTTCTGGTTGTAATGCCGACGACAGACTACGAGTCTGCGATGTCGTTTCCGACTGCGATACACCGGAATGGCTCACAGACTACGACGTCGTTTCTGGCACTGCGTCATTTTTTGCAGTTCTGCAGGTGACGCCATCGGAGTGAAGGTTGAAGTGTGATTCCTGAAGTGTGAACTGACAAGTCATTTGGTTGGAACAAAGGAATTAAGAGTAAAAGAAATTGTAATTCAGTGGAAAAAGAATAAGGTGAGAATAAAGAAGGAATTAAAATATGGATGAATAGAATTATTCGAATGGAAATGGGAGAAGTGATATAAAACTAAAATATCATTGTGTAATATATATATATATATATATATATATATATATATATATATATATATATATATATATATATATATATATATATATATATATATATATATATAATTAAAAGTAAAATTCTCCTTCTACCATTTTCCCGCCCAAAATTTAAGGACATTTTTTGTAAAACCAAACTCATAATTATTTTAGTCAAAATTATTAATTTTATTGACTAACCATATATATTTCATTAAATTTATTGGCTAATCAATTATTTTTACTAAAATAACCATATATAATTTTACTAGAATAATTATTATAATTTTGTGCTATATATTCTTCTTCCCAAAAAAAAAAAAAAAAAAAAAAAAAAAAAAAAAAAACTAAATTGTGCTAAAACTAATTTGTGTTTTCTCTCTAGCGCAGATGACATCGAAGGCAGGCTACAAAGTGACGACAAAGAAGGCTCCGGCATAGAAAGCTCGAGCAGAGAAGAAGCCCAAGGCCAAGAAGAAGCTCCCAAAGAGGGTGGAGTCGCGGCGGCCGGAGATAAGAAGAAGAAGAAGAAGAAGAAGAGGGTGAAGAAGTCATCGGAGATGTACAAGATCTACATCTTCAAGGTGGTGAAGCAAGTCCATCCTGACATCGGGATCTCTAGCAAGGCCATGGGCATCATGTACAGCTTCATCAACGATATCTTCTAGAAGCTCGTCCAAGAGGCGACTCGCTTGACCCACTACAATAAGAAGCTGACCATCCCTCTTCCCACGAGATCTAGACCCTCGTGAGATTGGTTCTTCCTGGTGAATTGGTAAAGAACATTGTCTCTTTGAAAGCACTAAAGCAGTCACCATATTTTCAAGCACTTAGATGAGATTATTTAAATCTATATTTCCTTTTGATATAATCTAAATTTGGGTTAATAGATGTAAAGTAACTTGGATTTGGGTTTAATTTCGGATTATACAGTACTGTTAATATCTACCTTCAACTATCAGTGAATCAATTAGCATTCTCAAAAAAAAAAAAAAAAAAAAAAAAAAAAAAAAAAAAAAAACCTTGAATGTCTAGGATAAATGAAAACAAAAAAAAAAACTTAAAATCCAATATATATATATATATATATATATATATATATATATATATATATATATATATATATATATATATATATATATATATATATATATATATATATATAATGCTTTAGAATATAATTAAGGATTTAATGAATACAAGAATATTTAATTATGGTTATATTATTATTGTGCCCCACAGTCATTATATACTAACAGAACATCACAGGAAAATAATAATAATAATAATAATAATAATAATAATAATAATAATAATAATAATAATAATAATAATAATGATATAATAATAATAATAACAATAATAATAATAATAATAATAATAATAATAATAATAATAATAATAATAATAATAATCTATATCTATATCTATATCTATATCTATATCTATATCTATATCTATATATATATATAAAAGTAAAATCCTCCAAACCAATTTTCCCCCCAAAACTTAGGACCATTTTTGTAAATTCATATATATTGAAATAATAATTATAGATATAAAAATTTATATATATAGTCATTTATATATACGTGTGATATTATATATATATATATATTAGATGTATATATTGATAGTAATAATATATAAATTAGGTAGTAAAAGAATAATTAAATAATTAAATATAGTAAATATTCTGTGTGATATATATATAGACATTATATACAATTAATATTTAATTTAATCTATATATACTAATAATAATAATAATAATAATAATAATAATAAGTTTATTACCTTACTTACTTTACTTTCTATATATTTTTAAATAAATTATTATACTTTCCTTTCGAATTACTATTTTTCACCTATAAATACAAATTTTTAGACTTTGGCATTCATTCTTCTTCCCTCACACTACTGGTTCTTCATGATTTTTAATATATTCGTACGTTTTCTTCAATCCTAGCAAAACTCATTCACTTAATCTCTACTTTAGGTAATTGTTTCTACTCTCCAAATTCTTTTGTTTAAATCTAAGTTTGTTGACATTGATGATGATGATGATCAATGAATAATATGCTTCGCTTGTTATTATTATTGGATTTATTTGATTCACATGCAGGTTTCTTATCAAGGTGGTTAGGATGCTATTAAGATTATACAAAGTTTGCCTTTGAGGGTAAGATTTTATATTCACCAAAATTATTATTTTCCCCGAATACTGTATGTATTGATATTATATGTGATATTATATGATATATGTTATTCATGTGAACACAAGTACATTTATCGATAAATAGTAATATTGTGAGTGGTGATTCTCGAAATATCGAGAATGAGTTTCGATTTGTAGAACTCGTGCGTTATGTAAATACTTGGCTTGAAATTTTTGGTGTTGTATACATAGTAGTATTGTGAAATTGTATTAATACTGGATTATGGACTATAATTATATTTTGGACAAATCATGTGGAGAAAATTGTATTTTTTTTTCTTTTTTTTTTTTGAAAAATGTATTTGGAGAAAATTATATATTCTGGAGAAAATTATATTTTTGTGGAGAAAGTATTTATTTGTGGAGAAATAATGAAATTTTGAGAAAATAATATATTGTGTGGTGTCCAAATAAGAGTGAGTACTGTTTACTTGGACTATTTACTACTCATTAGGCTTAGAATCACATGAGAGTGCATCACATAAGTTATGATTCAGTTTCCAAATTGTTTGAGTGGTAGTAGGTAGGAAAACCTAACTACTTGGATCATATATTACCCAGTGGCTTGGAATCTTCTGGGGTGTGCACATAGGTTTTAGTCCAGTTTCAAAGTGGATTTCAAAAAGTTTGGTTACTTCTCCATAAATAACTATTTATTCTCCATACAAGAAAATGTATAACTCCACATGTATTCTGGAAAAGTATGAAATTATATGAGTTTTGAAAATATAAAAAATTCAAACTATTATTTTACGGGGTGAAGTAAACTTACTTAGCTTATGCTAATTTTTGTCTACATTCTGTTTTTGTGTAAAATTATTTATACAGGTGAGCATGGATAGGAATTCAGGATGAACAAGTTGAGAAGGAATAAAGTTTAATTATTTGTTATTTTGAGGAAAATATTATTGTATAGTAATTGCAATTTTAAGTACTAAGTTGATTTTGAGATATTATTTGATGTTGTAAATTTAGCATAATTACCATAAATAATGGTTAATAATTGACAAATTCTATTAGGCAATAAAAATTAGCATTATAAAATCTTTTGTACTATGGATACATTATTTTTAATTATTTCGGTTTAATAATATTATATCTTATTTATAAAAAATCAAAGTAATACTTTTACTACTATTGAATATTGATTGACTAATTAAAAATAATCTTAATTATTATTTTGGCAATTAATAGGTATTTAGCTTTAAAAAGTCTACAAATATATGAATTATACAACCATTGAATCAATTAGTAGGACAATTATATTAGGTAATCTAATTAATAATTTACTTTTTAAATTATATCCCATTTTCTTCCGTGGTAAACATATGTTTAATGTAAATTGATTAAAATGTATCAATTGGTAATATTGCATAATTATGGTATATTGTAAATGTATTAATTGCTAATCAATTTATAGTAACGTGAATATTATGTATGGGAATAACATATGAAACACGGATTTGGAAAACGAAATTGAAATTATGCAAATTGAAGAAGGAAATGTATATTATTAATGGGCTGAAAATTATAAAAAATTTCTAATTGACTGAATAGAAACGGAAATGGAAAATGAAACTTATATTATTAATTTATAATTCTCACATTCTCTACCTATAAATACAATCCATTGGTGACCCCAAAAAAAAAAAGGGAAATGGAGAGTTTTTTTTTTTTTTTTTTTTTTTAACCAGAAGTTTCAGTTTCTATGTTTTTTCGTATACAAATTTATAATTGTAAATTTATATTAATAAATAATTATTAAGACAAGTATAATTTATTTTATATTGTGGACTCGTTATTTTTAATCATTTTGATTTAATAATATTATACCTTAATTATAAAAATTATACCTAATAATCTTAGTATTAAATGTCATACAATAATTACCATAAACAATGTTTAATAATTGACAAATTCTATTATGCAATAAAAATTACTATTATAAAATCTTTTGTAATATGGACACATTATTTTAATTATTTTGATTTTAAAATATTGTATATTATTTATAAAAATTTGAAGTAATACACTTAGTACTATTGAATATTGATTGACTAAAAATTATCTTAATTATTAAGATAATTAATAAGTATTTAGCTTTAAAAAATTCAAATATATGAATTATACATAGTAGTATGGAATCAATTAGTAGGACAATTATATTAGGTAATCTAATTAATAATTTACTTTTTAAAATTATATCTCCTTTTCTATAATTATATATATACTTAATGTATAATATTATTGGCATAAAATAAATTATACTTACCTTAATATATAATTAATTTTTAATATAATTTTCTAATTTTTATTAATGGTAATTATTCTAATAATTTTCTTTCCTTCTTTCGTGTAATTATTATGATAATTATGGTAATGTGTTTAAATATTGGAAGAGAACAAATATTAGAATTAATATAATTAATGAAATTATTATGGTAATAATATTTATTAATTATAATTAATATAATTATTGAAACTGAGAAATATAAGATTTCTTCCATTGAAATATTTGTGACAATTTCATTAAATTATAATTAATAAAATATGAAATATAATTAAAGAAATGAAAGTATAAAATTAACAAAACATGAATATTTATAATTTTTTTAAAAAAATATACATAAAATTATACACTATAGTAATCATACAATATTTAAATGCTACTTTTTAAATTTCTAAATGTAATTTTTTTAATTATAAATCTATCAATATAAATTATAATTAATGAAATTATATTATAGAATTTTTATATATACATATTAATAAATATTATGTGTATATACAATTTATTATACAATCATATAAGGAAATGTGTCCGATTAGAGTTTAAATTTATTCATACAAAATTTAGAATTTACATTTTTTTATTGATTTCTAAATATAATTCTCTTAGTTAGTATTCATATTTTTAGAATTATAATATATATGAAATACAATTAGGAATAAATAAACTTAATTATGTGATTTTTTTAATAAATTTATCTAAATATACAACATGATTAGAGATTATATTAACCATACAAAAAAAATTCTCACACCAAAAAACATTAACCATACAAAATTTAAATTTAAATTTTGTATATTATGAAAATAGATACTTGACCAAATATATAAAAGTCCAACTATATTATTATATTGTACATTATAATATATTTTCATTGTTTTCTATTTTTAATTTTAAATTCATAATATAAAAAAAAAATTCGTGCAACGCACGGGTAAAACACAATCGTTATACCCTGCACCACGGCGTGCTCAGCACTGTGCGTCCCGCGTCTCTCAAAACGACGTCGTTTTGGGAGACGCGAAAGGGGGTTGACGTGATTATTTGTATTTGTTTATATCATTATATGTATTTATTTATACAATTATGTGTATTTTTTATAAAGTTATGTGTGTTTGTTTATACAATTATGTGTATTTATTTATACAATTATGTGTATC